AAGGAACCCTTCTAGTTGGTTTGGAAAATGATACGAAAGATCAGATAAAATACTGCGATAAAAATTATTTTCAGGGTCTAGGTATTCTTCTGAAGAAAAGAGATTTTTTCATATAAATTAAAAAAAAAGGGATTCAAAGTTATTAGTCATAGCCGTGATAATAAATAGAGAAAAAAATAAAGATTTCTTTTTAGGAGTACTAGTTTTTTGTTAAGATTGATTTTGAAATTATTATTAAGATAGATAATTTTGTCATATCTTACCGTTACATTTTCACCATTTGAACGCCTTTGTTTTACTTCCGCAAATAATGTTTTCCGAATAGCAACGGTCTCACGAGAAAAGTCTTCGTTAATGAAAAAACTCGTGCCTTTTAGTCTGTGAGATTCTTTCAAGATTCTTACTTTGTCTTTGTATTTCTGCAGGTTAAGTACTATTGTCCTTGGTTGTCCATCTTTCTTCAATCCAGTGCGGTGGCCACGTTCAATGTCGATATTTTTCAGTCCAAGTTTTTGCCAGAAGAATGTGTGAACTTTTTCTTCAGAGTCCCCCAATGGTTCTTGCCCATTTTCATCAATTCCATCGATTCGTTGGTTATTTCTTTTTGATCTATCTTCCAGGTTTCGTTGCGTTTCATTCATAAATTTTTCTATATTAGTATGTTCGAATTTTATATCTAGTTGTTTATTGCTGTTATGAATTTTTTTGTCAACTAGTTCTTCGTTGTAGTTTAGATTATACTTAATATCTTCCAATTCCTTTGTAAGTTCTTTAATTTTGTTTGCATTCATGTTGATGTTTAACTCTGCTTTGTCCATTCTGTCGTTAATTATTTTTATATTAGCGCCAATAATATCAATAACAGTTTTCTCTTGTTTACAAAACATTTCTTCAGTTTCTTTTTTGAATTCTTTAAACATTTCTTTTCAGTGGCGTAACCAGGGGGAGCATAACCCCGCAAGGTGGAGGGAGGGCCGGAGCTTAGAGGGGCCCGCGGAGATTTACAAATTTTACTCATTGGGGAAAGCAGGGCAACATGGCGAATGGGGCAAGATGGGTTTTCATATAACAACTCAACAAAAAATCTTAAAAATGGGTGAAAATGAAACTGTATTTGCATTTTATATTTTAAAATACCAATTGGTTTTTTGAAATATTATTAACGCAATTTTATAGGCATAAGTTTACTTTTTGCGCCTAAAAAAAAATTCCTCACTTTCGGTTTCTCATAACGGATGGTGTCCTTTAAGTTTAACTTCTTTAGAAGTAGTTTTTGGTGATTTGTGTTTATTTTTCGTTCCTTTAGTTAGAGTTATTGGTAGTTTTTAAAATTTTATAAAATTGGAGGTAAAAATTGAATAATAAGTCATATTGCCCCGGTCACGTGACCAGATGACAAATTTATGAATTTTTTTATTTTAATATTTATTTCAAATTGTTATATTTGCAAACGGAAAATTTATGCAGGCAATAAATCATTTTAATAACATAAACATACTCAGAAAGTATTATTGCTTCACGACTGATAGTTATGCAATAACTCAGGGCTTTCAAAACGTTCGCCATGTTGCCCCGCTTTTCTCTATGAATAATATGACTGGTAATAATAATATGAGTGTTACTAATTTCTGTTTTATCAAATACATTTTATGAATTTATAATTTTTCACGTATCCCTACGGGCATTTTTGGAAAAAAAATTGAGAAAAAATTTAAGGAGGCCCCTTTACTTTTTTGGAGGAGGAGGGGGGGGGGCAAATTTATAGTTACGCCACTGTTTCTTTTAACATTTTTTTAATTTCAGAAAGTGTTACTGCCATAGTATAGTATACGTGATAAAATAGAAATAGTTTTTATAGATTAAACTTGAACATTTTTTCAAATGTAAAGTAAGCCAATTGTATATATATATATATATATATATATATATATATATATATATATATATATATATATATATATATATATATATATATATATATATATATATATATATATATATATATATATATATATATATATATATATATATATATATATATATATCAACTATAAGTCGTTCACTACCGCTACCACAATAATATAAGCTAAATCAAATAAAATATGGTGTGCTGATTTAATTGAGGTCAACAAATAGAATAAGTTTGTGTCGTCAGGAAAGATTATTTCAGCAAGTTTTTTCTTTTGTAAGGTTGTTAATCTATACTAGAAACAGGAGGGGTCTAAATATAAAACCTTTAGTGACGATGGATAATTACATTTTTTCTGATGAGTTAACTACCAACTTATTTATTAAGGAACTTGAAATAGCTTTAAAACCTGTAAAAAGAAACAAAAGAACAGAAGCAGATGAAATATTAGGGAATTATAGATTGTTTTAATATGTTAAAATATATTATTTTAAAAGTTTTTAAAGCTTCTTTTAATCAAGGAATACTTCCAATTAAAAGTTGTTAAAATTACTCCCTTCTTTTAGGAAAATGACAGATCAAATATTAAAAAACTATAGTCTCATCACGGTTTTTCCTGTATTTTAAAATATTTTAGAAAAAATGTGTTATAGAATATACAAACATCTCAACAAAAATAAATTACTATTCAACACACAATTTGGTTTTAAAAAAACAACTCAACAAGCGCGTGCAATAATCCAGTTTGTACACGGAATCTTTAAATCTTTTGATAAGTTACATGTTAGGCATCTTCAGTGACCTATTAAAAGCTTTCGACACAATAAGTTTAAAAAAAATTTTCTTTAAAATAATTCAAAATATTTCGAACTTCTTCAAATATATTTTTGTTAATTTGTAACACTTATATCCATCTTATAACCATCCAACGTACTAACGCGACATAATTTCTTCACAAACCGTATTGTGAATGATTAAAATTATTTACCATTGTCATGCAAAAAGGCTCCGTCAATTAACAAAAGTAGAATTGACAAGTATTTTTTTCCTACAGCTGCAAACAGTGCATCTTTTACTGAAGATGAGCTGCACGTTTAATTTAATTAATTCGTGCTTTAGCAGCTTCAAATATTGACTTTTTAGGTAGATTTGTCATAAACGTAAACTGTAATTAAATAAAAGCTAAAAAATAAAAAATAAAAATAAAAAAATAAAAATAATAAAAATAAATAATAAATAAAAAAAAAAAATAACAATAAAAAAAAAAAAAAATTAAACAAAAAAAAAAAAAAAAAAAAAAAAAATGCTTTTATTTTTTAATCTGTTTATTGGATTGTTTTATTTATTTATTTGTCATGTGATCTATACAGACTTATTTAAATATATTACTATTACTATTACTATATCATATTTATACTTTCACCTAAATCGTACTAAGCTGAGGTACATTTAGTTAGGATGCGGATGAATCTTACTGATCTAATAGTGTAATGTATATACATGCACTTATAAATGCACGTCAATTCATTAACATGTGAATATACAAATTCTATTTTATGTGAACCAATAAACTACTTTTGTGAAAACTAATGCAAAACAATTGAAGAAACGGCGCTAAACTTTGCCTTCCACCCCCCACCCCTCCAATAATTTTTCAAATAAATAATTTCGAAAAAATTGATTGAAAAAATGACTAAAAAAAAAAGGTCCTTCAAACTTTTTTGGGGTAGTACTAACCTCCAAAAAAGATAAAGAATAGAATTTGGAGTAAGAAAAAAAACTTTAAAAATATCAAGAGCGATAGCCTTAACCTTTCCACCTCTATCTAATGCATGATAAAACCTATCGGTTATTACTGTTAGCAAGTCAGCTGTAGAACGAGAAGATCAAAGTCTATATTGATAATCAGAAAGTCATTAGATTCAAGATGAGAGATTAAGTGTTTGTTAATTAATGATTCAAAAACCTTTTATAGAGTGATATAGAACAAAAAGAAAGGCGATAGAGTGAAGTGGTGCTTAACGGAAGCACATAAAAAAATTGTTGGTGACTTAGGCTTAATTTCCCGAAAAATGGGTGAATTCTTACGAATGTAAATGCCCAGCCCAACTATCAACACTAAGATCACAAGATGAGACAGCTGAGCTCAAATTAGTCTCACAAAGAGCAAGTAGGTCTGGTTAACTTTGCAAGAGATAAGACTCAAAAGAAGAAAAGTTACTTTGAGGACCACGAATATTAGTGAATGATAGGTTTAGAGAACTTGGTGATGACGATAGGTTTTTGTGTTTTTTAGTTTTTGTTACTTTATTCATTTTTGAATTTATTAAAGAACTTGACTCGAAGCATAGATAGTACTCAGTACACTGTTTAATAGCCCAAGCAACTGCCTCATTACTATTAATAATTTTTAATCGTCATTAAACTTCACCACTAACGTTTCTGCTTCACGGTATCAACATTGTTGCCTCACAACCATTACTTCATGTAAGTAGTCTTTTTTTAAGTACGTACGCAATACGGGATGAAAGGGTACTAAAAAACGTACAAATAGCTACAATGAAGATGGGATAAAGGGAGGAAGGGGTGGGGTAATTTAAGACAGCGAGTACCTACGCGGTTTGACTAAATCTCGTTTATCGCGGTTTGACGTATCTCTCTTAAAACTTGATTTCTTTTTTTTTTTAAACAAAAGCGTCAAATTTTACCAGTTTAAAAATCAATATTATATTTAACAGAGAAATGTCCAATTAGCTAAAGATTTTTTTTTTAAACGATTTAAAAAATTTATGCGTTGGGAAAGGGAGGTGAATTTTATAATAAATAATGCAGAGGGGTAAATGTTAGGAGGAAGGAGATCGTTGACATCATACGTACAAGATGCGTACAAGGGATCCTGAACTAGTAGTTTTACTGCTTACGTGCTTATGGATGCCCCCTAACCTTTTAACGATGAAGCGCGTGGTTAAAAAGGTTTCCTGTTGAAGTTATTATTGGAAACGGTACAGAGCTAGGGAAATCGGACGTCAGCCGTAAGGCACATTGAACTTTTAGCCATGTGCTTTAATTTTGAAAAACAAAATTACTGAAAGAACCTGATGAAAATCTAATTAAAAAATAACGTCAAGTAACACTTTTTTATACAAATTTTAAATTAAATATTGAAATTTTGTTTTTACGTAATTTTATTTGAGATGCATTCTGTTAACGTGGAGCGTACATACCGCCAAGCTTCATGGCGTTGTGTCGACTAAAAGATAAAAAAGATTTATAAATTTTGCATTTTAGATCTTATACATATATAATACTCTAAAACTAATATAAATAACAAAATATTAATATATTTACACATGGCGACGGCCGATTATAAGGTAACAATTGATATAATACGTATTTCCAGCCAGGAATTTTTTTACAACTGATAAATGCAGTTGAGTCGGATAGTGACGTTTCGTGATCTGTAAACCTTTCAGTAGAACAAACCCAAGGGCACCAAAAGCGATGTTCGCCTATAACACTGAACATTGAAATATCTGGTACCTAAAAAAAATGAAAACAGATTTATTTAAATGAATTAGCCTACATACTTATATAGAGCCATTTTTAATTAAAAAAATAAATACTTGAAATCTCATTTTTTTTATCCTCGAGGGCTCGCTGTCCTCATCATAATCATGCATTCCGTGATGGACTGGAGTGAGTAGACGAGGTGAATTTAAAGAAGAGTTATCTTCTATTCTCCTGTCAAACGCTACAGAACCTATTTCACTAATAACCGATTCAGTAGGTTCACTGTGACATGCATCAGCAGTAATAAAAAGAAGTTCTTTCATCCATTGCTGCTGTGATGAATTTGGATGATTAGGGGGTGGGTTATCTGTAATAGCTCTTTCATGCTCTAAAGAAATCATATTAATATAAGGTATGCGCAGATACACAGATACAAAATTATTTAGAGTAAAAAGCTGTCTAGTATTCAGTAAGAATTTTTTTACTTAAGTACCCGACAGTACGTTTAGTAAGATATCCAACAGTACAAACAGTAAGATATTCGACTGTAAATACAGTAGGATACCATAAGATATTCGACAACTAATATTAAATATCGTATTAATAAAATTATCAATAATTTGAAAAAATGCTGTTGTTGGATAGCCAGCACATTAAATGCGTGATATCCAATAAACAATTTTTGCCAAAAAATAATAAATACAACTTTATGCTACTATATATAAATATACATTAAACGTGTTTTTTTTGGAGAAAAAACAACCTGGATGAAGCATCAAAAACCTGGCCTGTACTCTAATTAAAATTTGCTAAGATTTTATTTTTTTTAGAAAAATCTATAATACAAAATAAAAATAACGTATTTCGTGTATCTAATGCAATTTCGTTACTCACCAATATCTTTTTCGCAAGTCTCCTCCAGCCTTTTTTCAAAACATTCCGAGCCAACCTCGCTAAATATTGAATCACTATATCTTGATCGGGTTCTGGAGCCCGGAGCACGGCTTAACAACAACTCTTTCATAAGTTCTGGGTGAGTAGCTTGAGGTAATCGAGGTTCCGAAAACTGATTTTTCAACTGTTAAAAAATAATAATTTGCAATGCACATGTTTATGCTAATCAATTTCACTGTAATATAAAAAAATAAATAAGTAAAATAAATAAAATAGAATAACGAAAGTAAGAAAAGAAAGTCTTATGACAAAGTAAAACCCCCTAAATTAACAACAAACTGCGCAAATTGTGATAACTTTTTTTTATGAAAAATATTTTCATAAAAAAAAAAAAACAACTTTTCTGGGCATTTAATAACAGTAAAAAAAAATTAACAAAAATATTTGTTTTCCACCACTAAAATATTCTAGTTTAATTACTATAAATCATATTTTATTTTTTTTATTTTTTAAATTAATATTCTGCTTTAAGCAGATGTTTAATGGCAAAAAACCTAATGAATGAGTTTGAAATCCAAACACTAAAAATAGTTAAAAAAATAACTAGTGGAAAAAAGCTTTAAACACACATTCCTGGTAAAACCTGTTCAGCTATTCCATGTTTGAAGAGAATTTGAATTCCATTGAAGAGAAACTTGAATGAAAATATAAAACTTAAACCTGTTCTTCACACCCCCCCCCCCTAAAAAAACAACATACTAAAAAAAATAAGCATTTAAACCGCATAAAAATTTTCAGTTTTATTTTGTATCTGTGTTCCAAGTTTTACAATACTCAACGAGTTTCTAATATTTTTGTAGTTGCTAATGTCCTAAATGTTCCTAATATTTAGTGTACGTCATGACAATTTTTGATAAGTTTTTTATAGTTACTGATACTAAATAAACAGATATTTCTTTAGTTCCTGTTTTGATGTAATTACTGGCATTTTGATTAATTTTGAAAAAACAAAATTTATTTGTTTTTGTGAGCGATCATAGTAATACAATAGTAATTTAAAATATATGAAAGCAAATATGACAAAATGTAAAAGATTTTTTTTAATTTTTTTTTAAAAGCAATATGTTTAAAATACAATAAAATAATTAAATGTAAATCAATAAAATCTGAACTTGATTGTTACCATGAAAGTATGCACAGATAAAAAAAAAAGATCCTGAATTTACTAAAAATCTTTCATCAGTCAAGAGACCACAAACTCTACACAGATTTTTGATAAATCTATACTTCCTTTTCTATACTTCCTTTTCTATACGCATTTAATGTGCTGGCTATCCAACAACAGCATTTTTTCAAATTATTGATAATTTTATTAATACGATATTTATTAGTATAGTATCTGATGTATCTGATGTATCACATATTGCTGTCAAATTAGATGCACTGTGTGTTAGGTTCACCTCACTGTGTGTTGATTAAAATCTCATTATGAATGAAATTTCAATCAACAAACAGTGAGGTGAACCTCATCAGTTCTGTTCAAAAAAATTTTACCATAAGGGAAGATGATTTTTCACCCTTTTTTGAGCTTATTTCTGTTAAAACTGCAATTTAAGTTAGTCTAATTTATTTTTTTCAAAATTAAAAAATTAAGTGAAAATTTTTACTTGTTTAGACTTTGGTCAAATACAACATTTTTCCAGTAAAGAAAAGAAATTTTTGCATTTTATGATTACTCTGAGGTTCCAAATAAAAAGAGTAAGGGGAGTAAATGAGGCGAAATTTAATTATATTATATTAATAAATTGAGAAAGAAGGGTGAGTGGGAACCTTTTTGAAAATAATAATAAAAAGAAAGAAATAATACATCCTGAGTGCTTTGAAGTGTCTTAAAATTAACTTAATCATCTTTTTTGATGCAAAACAAAAAATTTATCTTTTTTGAAATAGAGAACTATTCATTAACTAAAGGAAGAAAAAATAAATCTAAACTATATGATATTAAAAAAGAGTCACTGTTATATGAATAGATTGAAAGCATTGGTTTTAATTTCACTTGATTTTTCAGCATTACTTTATTTCTCTTTTTTACATAGCTCCTTCTGTTCAAGTTTGATTCATTTTTTGACTAACCTACATACTATTAGGTATTACTTTTTAGTTGCAATGAAAATTGATCAATTGAGGCAACAATTGATCTTTATTGTCAATAGAATCTTATACCAATCCCAATTGAAATTTTCACAAAGTTATACTCCATTATTGTTTTTTTTTCTTTTTTAATATTGTTTAAATATTATTTGAAAAAATAATATTGTTTAATATTATTTCACAAAGTTATATTCCATTATTGTTTTTTATCTTTTTTAATATTGTTGAAAATTAGAGACTAAATATTTTTAAAATAATGATTATAGCTAAAGGAAATTTATTTGAAAGAACTTTTTTTGAAATCCAAGAATTTGTATGTTCACTTTTTAGAGTTGAAAAAAGTTTTTGTTATGTAATGCCATCTTTCAGTTTTATTGTCAATAAACTCAAATATATTTTTTCCAATCTTGTTCCCTTTGTTAGTATTATTTCCTTTTTCAAAACCTTTTGGAGTAGTAATAAGTTTTAAAGGTTTTACCAATACATCAATACATTTGTGAATTTTAACAAGCATTCTTGTTATGTCATTGAGGCTAGATTAAAAAATTTTTGTATGGGTCTGACCTCAGCTGTGTGATGATGAGTTCTTTTTTTTGTTAATGGCAAGTGGATGTATGATGTGGATGTCTGTATAATTTATTTGAACTTCACTTGGTACACCCCTGCCAATTCCTACCAAAACATAGCGTCATTTTAATAAAATTGCTTTGAATTCATTGATTATTACTAAAGTTGCTTACAATTAATTAATTAAACTTTAACTCTAGCATGTACATATTGACATTTTTTAAATCATAAATGAAGTATTAATTATTTTTTTTATTTGTGAGTCAAACACAACATTTCTTTAGGACTTAATTCTCCATAATGTCACTCTGTTGTTTGGTCATGAACAACAACAAACTACACAGCAATAAAATATAATTTGAAAAAGAATTTTTTCAAATTTTAAATGGAAATAATGCAAGTTTAACATGGTCATCAACAAGTGAACAAGCATGGAAAACTGATTTTATAGCTCATATCTTATGACAATTGAGAATCTGACAACCCATTTTACACCCTGTAAAATAATTTTGTCTCTAATCAAACAGTATTGTAGTTAAACAAGTTATATTGAACTTCAAAAGTCAAAAAGTTTAACTATACTAGTTTTATCACTCCAAGACCTCCTACCAAAGACCTCCAAGTCCCCCATAAAAGTACGTTATAATTTCGGACTTACTATAAAGTGAACTACTCTTTTTACCCTCTTTAATTTCTCCCAACCCTATAATGCCATAAAAAAAAAAAAACCCTGATGTGTTGATTAGATAAATGATCAAAAACACACTGATGTGTTGTTTAGATAAATTATCAAAATATTTAAACACGTAAAAACAAATTTAAATAAATATTTAAACCTGGTTAAAGTCTTCATGAGTTGTTTCAATATGGTGTTCAAGACCATCTGTAGCCATAACTTTGCTGTCTGAAACACGTAAGTTTAAAAGAGACTCTTGGGATTCAGCAGCTCTCAACAGATCTGACTGTGCTAATGAATCACTGCTAGTTGCTAATCGAGAAAGTTCATTCAACATACTTCCCTGCCCACTATTGTCAGATTTCTCTGTTTCAGACTTCTCGCTTTTAACAGATACATCAGTCGACATATTTTCTTGTAATTCAGTAAGAGACTGTTGCGAGTTTGTATATTCTAATGAGGTTTTAAATCGCTTCTGGTGATTAATACGACTGGATAAAGATTTATAATTCCAAAGACCTGCCTCCATACCACATATTGTACATATAATGGAGGGATCTTCTACAACAGGCTGGCTTTATGTGCAAATACATAAATGAAAATTAATGTTATGTTACAAATTATTAAATAAAAAAAATTAAATATAGCTTAGCATAATTAAGAAGACTTTATAAATAAAAAATAACTTATGAAAGAGTAATATCAAAAAATTTCTTAAAAATAAATAGTCCTATTTAACAAAAATGATGTTGAACTATAAGTTATACTTTGAAATTGATTAACAAACTAGAAGTTATACTTTGTATTGAGCTTGCAAACAAAAAAGATCTGAATAATCTCACCAAACAGACCAACCACATATTGCAAGGATAGATGCTACTTTTGCTTGCAATGCATCATCATCATTTTCACTGCTCCATTTAAAAACTTGATTGAGCATGGTTTCAATAGAACTATTATCTAATACACCCTGAAATAAAATAACCCAGATTTAACTACCAATCAATTTATTGTCAGTTAATTAAATGTCAAATAACTTGATCAATAGAACAATACCCAGTTAAAAAACACAATAAGAAAATAAGAAGTCATAACATTTAATTTATAACTTGTAATATTTAATTGAGAATTTTAAAATTGTAATTCAAAAATATAGTGCAAGTGAAAATTCTAAAATTATAATTGTGAATGAAATTTAAAAAAGTTAATAATGACAAATTTAGCTTTTTGTGAGCACTAATAATAATTATGTAAGCAAAAGATTATTTTATTATATGTCAATACATTATGAACCAAAAGTCTTTCATTAAATTATAGCAGTGTCAATACATCACCAAATTTTACATTCAGTGCTGGAACAAAAAGATCCTATTTTTCCAATCTGTTGGCACACAATGTATGCAACCAAACAAACAAACAAACAAGCAGAAAAAAAAACAGTAGAGTTAATGGAGGCGCAAGCAAAATGACAACTGGTCAAACTTAAAGTGTCAATTATAGAACAGCATACAAATGAGTTAGCAGAAAGAACTCATATATTATCGTAAAAGATTGTTCTGAGATAAAAATTATTAGAAGATAAAATTGAATTAATGATAACATAATAATTACTAGAAGATAAAATTGAAGTAAAGATAACAAAATTTAGAAGTTGGAAAAAATAATATTTTTCATAAGCAAAATCAATAAAAAAATAAATTACATACATAAAAAATGCCACCTGGCCATATTGATTGCCATTGGTATTCAATATTTTATGTTATTAAATGAAATAGCACATTTTCCTGCTCTGAATGTATTGTACTTTTTTTGCTTAAAGAAAGAAAAGCGAACTATCTACATAAATGATTATTTTTCTTTCTTGAATTTTATTCTTTTTAGAACTTGTCTTATGGTGTGAAAAAAAAATACTCAATTGGTGCTACTTGTAAAAAGAAGTTGTTAACTGATGTTGGAAAAGAAAGTGAAAAAAAAAATACTAAGCAAACTCTTTTACACACAAAGAAAAACTGAGCCACATGCTAACTTCTATATTTCAACTCTCCCAGTTCTCAAGTAATTTATTCTAATATTCAAACAGAAAGAACCAAAGATTTGCCTTTTACAAGATGAGTTGCCATGGTTATATCCTAATTAGGCTGCTGTATAAATCTAGAATCAGTTAGGAATAATCTGGTAAAAAAAACTAACAAAGCTTGACATAACAGTCTTCAAATTCCACAAAATTTAAATAAAGTACATTAGAAAAAAGACTAAACATTACTTTTCAAATTTAGTTAAACATTACTTTTAAAAATTAGTTGAATAAGTTTCTTTTGATGTAAAAACTTTCTTTTAACAAATAAAGATTCCTCTATCAAATAGGTTATTAAAATTACAATCCTCTATTGATCCAAAAGGTGTTGGAAGTACAGTTGAGTGTCAAATGACGAAAAGGCTGAAATTTGTACTTAACGCTATAAAGTTAATGATGCAAAATTATTTGATAGGGAAGTCGTTATGTTTCATTTCACTAAAGCAATAAAAGAAAAAAGACTTGATTAAAGATGGTTCAAAGTTTTTCTATAAACTGATACAACTTACAACCAAGATAAAGTTTGTTTGTCAATTTTTACTTGACCTATGATATAACAACTGTTCAGGTAACTTCTTTAAACTGAAAGCTGTAAGTAATTTATGCAAAAGCAGGCCTTGTAATGATACTTTGTTGTGTAACAGAAAAACGTAACACAAGTACATGTAACTTTACTCAAGATACATATTTACATCATTAAAATTAAATTATGTCAGTGGCGTATTTTAAAGTACTGCATTGCAGTTAAATTTAATTTGAAACCACGTTAAAAATCATTTAAAATCTTTCTCTATATTTTAAAATTAAACAGTATTATTATAAAAAAATTATTAATGAAATTTAAATGTTGTTTGAAAATAAAATTTCTTTTTTTTTAAAAACTTATACTTATAAAAACTTATACAATTTACTTCTTAAAACATTTACAACACAATATCATCTTATATTTACTTTCCACAATCTAGTTGTTTTTTTTATGAGGGTAATATTGTTTAAGGGTGAATTCCTTAATGGTCAAATTTTTTCATAATTTTTTTTACATAAAGTTTACTGAAAAAATTCTCTAAATTATTTTGCCTACAGGCTTAATTATAGTTTATCATATATACATTAAGCACTTATGTATATTTGCACTTTTGTAACTATAAATAATAAATTAATAAAAAAATAAATTATTAAAAAAATAAAATTATAAATAAACAAAATAGCTAAAATATAAAATGAACATAAAAATAAGCTAAAATTAAATTTGATAGAGAGAATTTTCTTTAACATGTTCGGAAACCTTAAAAGTTAAAAAAAATTTTTTTAAATGGAGCGTTTTAATTTTTTAAAAAAATTTAAATTTATTAATAAATATAATAATAAATTAAATTTAAACATAATAAAATAAAGTTTAATTAAAAAATGTTTTCAGAATGGAAAGCAGAAAAAATTATTTCACTTAACACTATTTCAAAACACTGTTTAAATAATCTAATTGAAAAAAGTCTTGGCATAAAAAAGTAAATCGCTTAATGTGTTAAAATCACACGGCATAACGCTTCTTAACAAGGCTTACAAGAGTAATTTATGTTAAAGTAACCATTTATGTAAAAGTAACATTTGTTGTAATACCATTACTAATTAAATTAAAAAAAAAAAAAATTATAACATAACTCATCTTATAGAAAGTATTTGCTTTTTAGTAGTATTTAATCATTCAATACTATCACTTTGTGTTTATTTAAATTAGGTCAATCAAAATAAGCCAATAAATATACCAATAACTTTAAATTTAAAAATAAAAAATTTTAAATACTTTAAATAAAAAACTTTAAACTATGTGATTTATATTTAAATCAAGCCAATCAAAGCAAAGCAAAGTTTAGTCAATTTTCAAAGGGTTGAGATTTTCTAGTTTTTTACTTTTTGTGAAAAAACAAAACAGAAAAATAACTAATTTTAACTAAACTAAAAAAAAAAAATTCTTTACCAATGAAGCAATTTCATCTTCATTTAATTCAGGTAAATTACCTCTCAGGGTCATAAGACTTTCGAAAGAAAGCTTCATTTCTGCACACCATTGCTCAGAAGTGTAAGAAGGTAATGACAGAAATGATGGTGGACAAGGATTATCAGGCCATGGGCATAACTTTTCATGACCTATTTGTAACTTGTTTTGAACTTTGTTGCAAATTTCATTATCTATAAATCAAATATACAAAAATATAAAATAATAAATATAAAAACAATAAATATTAAATACATTAAATTAAAGTAAATAACACAATATATAGCATTATAGTATTTCAAACATATAAAAACATACAAAAACAGAAAAACAAAATATATATTCACATAAATACATAAAAATTATATTTCATGCTCCAATATCAATATACATATACAAATAAATTTATTGTAGTTACATTAAAAAACAAAACTATTTTCAAAAAAAGGAGTGTTAAAAAATAGAGGTGTTGAAAAAAATAAGGGGTGTTAAAAAATAGAGGTTTGAAAGTAACTAAAAAGTCATTTGAAAAAACTCATTCAGCATGAAACTTGATTACACAAATTAAACTTGATTACGCAAATCAGTAAAATCAATTTCAGTAAGATCTTAGAAATCATTGAAACAAAATCTCTCTGAAAGTATACTAACTGGGGTCTCAAAAGACCAGAATTTTAAATAGATTTTAAAATGTATATCTCTGTAGCTATCTCCTTCTTCTTTTTTTCGCTTTCTAACTTCTCAACACTTCTAGCTCAATTTTTAATTAAAAATTTAATTTTAATTAAGGCTCAATAATTGATCTGTCCACTTCCAGTTTGTCAAACTGTCTTATTCTCAATTTAAAAAGTATTACTTTCTGTAAATTAAATCATGAAAGCCTTTCTAGAGCTACTATTCCTTGTTTGATCTACGAAAATGTTTGCTTGTTTGACCTACCAAAAATCCTGATTGTATGACTAATGATTCAGTTCAACTACAACAATAAAAATAAATGATAAAAATTTGAATCTTTTATTTAAATACTTTCTGAGTAAAATAAATATAAGTAAATTTTGAAAAACTTTACAAGTTAGGTTTTCAAAACCTTTGTAAAATTTTCATTAGAGTAACAATCCATTATGTAATATTTCATCTGTTTTGGATTAATTTAAATAATTTGCATAAACCATAACAAGTTAATTAATTAATTAATTTGGAATAAATTAATTAATTAATTTGGAATCGTTGCCCAAAAAATATCTTTGTATCAAAAAAAAAAAATGTGGAAATTGCAGTGAACTCTGCTGTTATTGCATACAATGAAGGAAATTAGGAAAGTTTTTAAATTGCTAGACATTTTTCCAGGATATTATTTCAATCTTAGTGCACAGCAATTAGACAAAAAATCTGTTTTGGATTAATTTAAATAATTTGCATAAATCATAACCTAATTTCAAATGATTTCTTCCAAGGTCAAAGCGTAATTATTTGCTAAAAACATTTCCTCTACAGCAATGTTTGCTGTTCTCTTTGTTAATAATTTTTGAATTTTTAAATTAAAATTTTTTTTTAATTAAAAAAAAAAAAAAATTTAATTAAAAAATTTTTTAAAAATTAAAATTAAAAATAAGTTATACATTTTATAAACTTTTTATTTAAATACTTTTTAACTTTATATAGATAACATTAAATAGAAATTAATTTTGATTGTTATCCTTCCTTTTGTTTACTTTTAAAGTTTTCAAAATTTTTAACTAATGAGTGTCACTTTTAACATTTTTCCCACATAGTTTTTGAATCTTCCTGCCACGTTAACCTTGTCATTTTATTCCATGATTATTTAACTGTTCCTTTTCGTTGAATAGTTCAGCATTTTCATAATTTTTAAAAACTGCAAACCACAGTTATAGTATACATTTGTACAGAATGGTACATGTACACTAACAAATGTAATTGTAATTATAGTATATAATTAATATATATAATATATAATTATGGTTAATTTTAACTTAAATAATATTAGCTATTTGAATATGAAATAAATTTATTTTTAATAGCTAATTGCATTTTTAAAAGCTAATTATTATCACATTAATCTTTCTGATGATACATAAAAGATAACAGATTTGAATGATAGATAGCAGATCTTAAGGATAGATATAGGCAAAGAGTCGCCTACTTTCTTGTCAGACCATTTCTCTAAGAAGCCATAGACCAAATCTATTATAATAACTTCACCTGTCATTTAATTTTGATTCTATTCTTTAGCTCCTAAAAAATAGACTAGACCCTCTTTCACATTGTTGTATTTTCTTGTAAGTTATTTTTGTTACACCTACCAAAGATTTTAACTTTTATGTAACTAGTCATTTAGTAAAGCTTCATTTTTTTTTTGTGTGCACTTCTGTGTAGGATTTTTCAATGCTTATATACAAAATTTGTTGCTTTCTGATTATATTTGTGGTTTTGTCGACTGCTAACCATTACCTTGCTCTTTTAATATCTTCTCAGTTTTTCTTTATTATTTTCATAATAAACTCCTACTTTTTCAACTAATTCCAACATTGGTTGCCTGCATATATGAAGAAGAGTTGAAAATTAATTTGTATAAAAACTAAAAACTAAAAATATCCCTCATAACAATTCAAATGTATTTCAAATGATGTGTATAAATTTGTTTGTGTTGACCAAAGAAGAGAATTAACTTCTAAGTGACATTAATAAAAAATTTAAATGTATTGCAAAAAAAATTATTTTACTCTTATTGCATGCAAAATCAAAATTTAATTACATGCAGCTTCATCCCATTCATCTGGTAGACCAGCATCAAGAGTAGCATTGCATGTCACACATCTCAATTGATCAAGGTATTCAGTGCACCATCCATATTGAGCACAATGTAAAGGAGATAACCCAACTGGCTTTGCAACCCAGTTAGATGACTAAATAAATAATAATACTGAAATTATTGAAAAACCTTTTACAAAACCTTTATAAATATACGTAAATTCGAATTCATGTAACGGATACCTTTTTTTCAGGACAAAAAAAAAAGTCAAAATTTAATGATGGTTTCTTAGCAAAGAATGTATATAAATTGTTTAAATATTTTAAAGCACATATATTTTAAAATATCAAAAATAGCATGCAAGATTACAACATAAAAAAGTTGAACTAAAAAATAAATTGTTTATGTGTGAAGCTTATATTAGATTAGTTTAGATGAGCCCAGATCCAAATACATTAAATACCTAGAGACCACCTAATTTCTTTTGGTTTAAAAAGATTTACAGATATATAATAAAAACATAATGATGTGTTAATTAATAAGTTGTTCAATTCTAATTTAAATTTATACTATTGATTTTATAAATGTTTTATTTAATTTGAACAAATTTCATTTCTGTTCTAGAAACTATTCACAGTTTGCATACCTCACAGTAGGCATGGACTTATGAATGTGGCGTAGGCTCTTTACATTTAACTTGAGAAACTATTCACAGCTTGCATACCTCACAGTAGGCATGGACTTATGAATGTAGTGTAGGCTCTTTACATTTAACTTGAGAAACTATTCACAGTTTGCATACCTCACAGTAGGCATGGACTTATGAATGTGGCGTAGGCTTTTTACATTTAACTTGAGAAACTATTCACAGTTTGCATACCTCATAGCAGGCATAGACTTATAAATGTGACATAGGCTTTTTATATTTACTTTAAACAATTAAGATTTTTTCATACTAAAACTCTCTTTAAAATATTTCCTTTCCTTGCTTCTTATTAATTTTTGATAAATCAACCAATAATATTTCATTAAAATCAACCAATAATATTTCATCACAATCAACCAATCAAGTCTTTCACCAAAATATTTCAAATATCATAATAATTTAAATGCTTTAAATGAATTTTTAAGTTTTATAATGCCAACTGATGTCAATGCCAGATAGATACAGCCTGATGATGTCAATGCCAGATAGATACAGCCTGATGATGTCAATGCCAGATAGATACAGCCTGATACTGATGCATCAACATCGGCCTGTACTCTTTTATTTTTTAATTACTACTTTTACTCTTTTCATTTTTACTCATAGGTAGATTGACTGAAAAATAGGTAGAACATGTGGGGAGTGCTCCTAAATTTACTGAAAAATAGGTAAGGGTTACTTTGACATGTGGGTAACATTGAAATGTGTTTGATTAAATGTTTTTACCCGCCACCCATTGACTATTGTTTAAATTATTTTAACAGATGCTGAAGTCAGATAATGAACAAACTATTTTAATCTGCGTAATAATAAGCATAAATAACAACACAATATGGCGGGCATAAATTAAACTAATTTCAAATTTTTTTTGTTGAAAAAAATTTTTAGTTAAAAGATAAATAAAAACATACTATAATATCATTTTACATGTGTTTTTATGATGTTGTTTTTAAATACTAAGCATGTAAGATTTTTTCCAGCATTTTTTTTTAAAACGCATATTTCAGTTTTGGGGTAACATTGAGAGGAATAAACATACTATTGTCAATGTTACCCCATATAGGAGTAACATTGACAGTTGAACCCCATCAACAAAATTAATTATCTATCAATAATACTAGATAACAAATTAAATTTTTAATCAGTTTATGACACCAATATCATTAATAAACGCATAGAAATATTGCATATCAAACTTAGTTTGCCGCAACTAAAAAAAATTATTATTTTTTAAAGATGTGTAAATGTTACTCCACTTTACCTCAGAACATGGGAGGAGTGCTGCTACTTGAGCTAACAAATAGGTGGAACATGCAAGTAGTGCTGCTAGTTCAACTGACATATTGGCAGAACATGGAAAGAGTGTTGCTACATCAGTTGGCAAATAGGGAGAACATGAAAGAAATGCTGCTAAATCGACTGACAAATAGGTAGAACATGCAAGGAATGTTTCTACACACACAGAGATATATATATATATATATATATTTAAATTTATTATTCAATTTCGCTTCATATATATATATATCCTTATATCGTAGTCGAAAGAGACTTTTATGGTAAAAAAAAGTCTCTTTCGATTACAATTTCGCTACCTTGACTCTTAAGCTGTATTTTATTGTTGCTGAAATGTCAAAGCAATTAAATTAATGCGAAAGTACATTAAATTTTATTATTTTTAAAAAAAACTACTTCCTTCTTTTATTTTGTAAACTTTGTATCCGCTTCTTGTGTCAATTCTACAAACAGTACGGTCTCTATCCAGCTTTTATTGTACCTGCAAATTTGGTAAATGTTTAACTTTTTTGAAGCAGCAAGGTGATTTTATTTTACTTATTACAAACATAGGATTTTTATCATCCGATATATAAACTATGGCCATATATCCAGTAATATCCAGTAAGATAAATTTTACTGTGCTTTCCCTTTATACAAGCTTCATATCAAATATTAGGTGACTTATTAAGTTATGTTTGAAAAACAATACAATTTCATCAAGTTTATACATGGATAAATTTAGGAAGTTTAAATTGTAGGAAGAGTTTCTTTCCATGTGGTCATTTAAGCCGTTCTATAGTTACTCTCAACAGATACCGTCTTAAAAAAAACTGTGCCTGTTTTTCCAAAAATTAAGCCAGCCATCAAACACATGAAACAACTTTAGATAATAATTTTTTCAGCAAGTTATCTGGCTTTTGTTTTTAAAATTGATGCTGTTTCTACTCTTTACAATGATAAATCATTTAAAAACAAGATAATCTGATATTTTTTATTATTTACATTTATAAACCATTTAAAAACAAGATAAAGTCTTAATTGATAAAACACAGTGTAAAATGAAAAAAGTTTGATAAGTGATTTTCTAATAACTGTTAGAATTTATCTAAAGGTGTTCAAACCAATATAAATGTGTTATATCATTAACACATTTACATTTGGGGTATTTTTTTATCTCCAATATATATATTTTTTTACTTATTTATCTCTATTACTTCTATTCCGTTTGTTGAAAATGAGATTAAACTATTTAATTGTGAATATCACAAACAACAAACATGAATTGGTGGCTTAATGAAAAGCTTATTCTAAGAAAACAAAATGTTTTTGTAATGGTTTTTAAAAAATCAGAGTGCTTTATTTTTTCTCTTTCAACAAAATTAAACATTTAAAAAAAATATCAACTTAAGCATCGTAAATATTTTTACTTTTTTGTTCCTTTTTTATTTATTTTTTACTCTAAGGTAATAAATATTTTTATATGCACTTATTTGCAAATAAATATTTAAATAAACAGTTTTTGAAATATTATGTATCTTCTTGTAACATCAACTGTGTACATTTATGTTATTATTTTTAACTTCTAATAGTAATATTTATTTTACAGAAATAATATTGAATTACACATTTTGTGGTAAAACCTTATACTAAAATTCAATAATAGAAAAATGCTAAATTAAAACTGTGAAAACTAACCGTGAAAGTCTTCACTCTCTGCAAAAATAAATCTTTACTCTGGGGATTACATGTTACATGACTAAATAAAACAAAAACATATGTAAAACAATAATGTTAGTTACAAATTAAATATGACTAATATTCTTTTCTTTTATGTTTTTTTAAATTGTTGTATACTCATACTTAATTTTCAATAAACTTTATTCTAAATTTAAAACAGTTTGATCAAAATTTATTTCAAAAAATCACATAAAAACTTTAATGATAGCACTAGAGAACAATTTATCGGGTGAACACGGAAAAATCCGGTCAACTTTAAATTGAGATTTCTCCAAAACCACAAATGCTTTTTATTTAATTTTTTTTTAATTAAACCTTACTTCCTTATCTTAAATGGTGTTGATAAACTTTTGTTTATAAATTAATAATTTGCAAAATGTTTTGGAAACAAATTGAGGTGCGTAAAAAAGTTGTGAATATTTTTTGCAAAAATCAAGCGACTTCCTATCGCTTGATTGCTAAATGCACAAATGTCCCAAAATCTACAGTCAAAGATATTATAACCAAGTTCAAGACTACTCAAAGCTTTGAAAGAAAACTTGAAGTGGAAGAAAAAAAACTTTCCATAAATCCAAAAAGGTAAAGTCGATTTTACGTTCAATAGCAAGAAATCCAAACCAGTCACAGCAAGATCTAGCAAAAAAATTCAAGTCTTCTTGTTCTTATATCAAAAAAGTACTTAAAAATGCTGGAATTAAAGCATTTCATAAAAAAAAAATACACCTAAGAGAAGCTTAAATTGTGAAATTAAAGGAATTCAACGTGCAAAGAAGTTGGTTAAAATTATGGCGGATAAAAATATGTGCATAATTGAAGACGACGAAGCGTATTGCAGGGCGGATTTTTCACAACTTCCTGGTCAACAGTTTTACTATGAAAACAAAGATAAACCTGTTGATGATGAATTTAAATATATTCGAAGATAAAAATTTGCATCCAAGTTCCTTGTGTGGCAAGCAATTTGTAGCTGTGATATGCAGTCCTCTTATTTTGTCACTAAAAAGACCTTGACTGCCAATCTCTACATCAAAGAATGCCTCCAAAAATGACTTTTGCCTTTTATAAAAAAACACAAATACCGATGTCTCTTTTGGCCCAATCTTGCTGCCTCTCACTATTCTAAAAAAGTTCTACAGTGGTGCAAAAATAATAATATGAAAATTGTTCTTAAAGATGCGAATCCTCCAAATAGTTAAAGGAGTTCTTTGTAAGACAGGTGGAATAACAAATAATAAAAAGGACTTCCAAAAAAAGTGGATTAATGCCACCAATATGGTGAATAAAGAAAAAATCTGTTAAATGATGATATCAATCCGCTATAAAGTTCAATTTCTTGCCAAACAATCCATCAAGCCCCTTAAAATTAATTTGAAACTCTAATTTATGTAAACACATTTAATAAAAAAATTGAAATAAAAAGCATTCATGGTTTTAGAGAAATCTCAATTTAAAGTTGACCAGATTTTTCCGTGTCCACCCAATAAACAGACTTGGTAGACAACTATACACAAACTAAAAAATTTATTTTATCTATTGATTTCAACATACTGCTATAATCTTGAACCTCATTCTGGTGTTCATTTTAGTCGACTCTGGCTTATACAAATCAAAAGCTGATGTACAGATTTCTATTTAATTCAAGTTAACACGTTTTCTACTATCACAAAAAAAATTTCCCTTAGTGTGAATTTTCAACTTATACTTTTGATTTTTCAAACTATTGATTTCATATGACTCTATTAAGCCAGAGCATCAGAGACCTGTACCTCTTCTAACAACATTTGTTATAAATCTTTTTTAACTTAAAATCTTATCATTTAAAATAAACATATTATTGGAACATAGTTTGATCTCTAAATATTCCTGATTCCTACACAATCGAAAATTAATCTAAATATTCCTGATTCCTACCCAATCGAGAATTAATCTAAATATGCCTGATTCCTAACAGAGCCATGCAGTAAATTTTTAGGGCCCTGTGCAGTTACTTTTTGGGGCCCTTAAATTTTTTTTTTCAATTACATTGAATTAATTTTTATTGGGTTTTCTTTCTTAAAAAAAAGTTATACAAAGAAATCATAAATCAATTTTCCTAGCTCTTTTGCTTGGAAATTCATCAATTATATCATTGTATTAAATAGTTCTGGTGGTTGCATTTTCTATTGACAGTATTGCTAACCCTGAAGGTCTTTCCTGTGACATTGTAGAACGCAGATAATTTTCAACTAATTTTAGTTTTGAAAATGATCATTCACAATAAAGGTAATGGGTATTGTTAAAATTATTTGATATACGATACATCAATTTGGATACAATTCTTCCAAATTCCGTTCTAAAATAAAATCCAAGTTCTCTATAATAGTATAATTATCTTCTAAAGTATATCTTAAAAAAGAAAGTTCATTTTTGAATTCCTCTTTTTCAACATCATTTTCTAAGTGTTTGACTAGATTTGAACAATTAAATTTATTTGTGTTCATAGTTTTTAGCATTCCATTATTGAAAAGAAAACCGAAAAACTTCATTTAAAAAACTATATGATATTTAAATCGTTAGTATAATAAGCAGTATTATAACGTTCTTCAATGATAATACTAAGCAAACAAACACAGCCTATTAAAAACAACAAGAGATAAAATACCTACAAGAAAGAAATGTAAGCAAAAAAGAATAGTACAGAAATTTAAAATTATCATAATTTAAAGCTTGAAATATAATTAATAAAAAACAAGCAATTCTTGAAGTTTTGGAATTCTTACTATTATTTTAAGGGGTCTTATGACCCAAAGTATTCTAAGAACTTTAATGATTGTTTTAATTGTTTTTGATTTATTTGCTTTCATAATAAAAAAAAAATTTAATTATTAAAGTAAGATTGCTTAAAATTATCTTCAGCCGTTTAAGTCAGATGGTTATACTCATCATCAATTTCAGAAACGAGATCACATATATCAATATTACCACAACATTCTATTGGAATAATTTCATTGTCTTTTGATTTTTTTCAATTTTTTCATTCAATTTCTTCATTTGGTATATCATCAATATCGTATTATTTCTTATTTGCCTTATTTTTATGGTCTGCATAATAGCAATAGTTTGCCAATATCTTGAGTTACGTACTCTCCGTTTTGGTAATGGTAAACTAGGTTCTGGTGATTTATCGAGACAATCTTTGTTTCTACTCGTTAATATTTGGGTATCGCAAGAAGACGGTTCAGTGAACTGTGCTATAACATTTAAATCTACTGATGATTCTTGTTCTTTTTTTTAAACCTGTTCAAAATTGTTTTTTTTGAAATCATCAAGAGATAATAGATAATTGCAATATTTTTTCGCTGAAGCAATTGGCTGAAAATGTGAAGCTTTGATAACAAGTGATACCAAATTGCTGTGAGCACAACAAATTTATGAGTTTATTTGTTTTATTAGAAACACAGCATGAGTTTTACAATCTGGATGGCTATTTTTAAGTTCATCTAGTGCAAGACTTACTTCTTTTTTTTTATTTATTTATTTTTTTTAATTTTAATTCACCTCCTCAAGGCCGAGAAGGCCACTACAGACGAGGAAGCTACTTATTTGTGGCTATAACCCTCTCTCAACTCTATAACTCGAAACGAATTAAGCGCGGTACTACTAGGGACGTGGTGGGGATCGAACTCGGAACCACTCGTTTATGAAGCGAGCGCTCTACCACTACACCACTACCGCATTTTACAGATCTGGAAAGTAGCAGAATTAAATAGCCTTGCTGGATCATTAGATAAGTTTTTTAAATGAGGCAAAAGTTCATCAGTTTCAAACACTACTTTAATCGAAACATGCAATTTAAATGGTAAATCTCAACCTGAAAAAGGTAATGTTGAAAGAAATATGAATAACCCACTGAGCCTTCAAAATATCGATTATTTAACATTATTGGATTTCACCCTTTTTTATCTGGTATTTCACAACTTTTATACTTTTAAAGCAATATTCCCATCGAGTATTGCTTGGCGCCTTCAGATTAATTTTTAAATATTTTACTTGAACAGCCCATCGCTTTGTTGATGCAGTAAAGATCTTATATAAATTATTTAATATAGTGGAATAATTCTGACTTTTAATAGTGTTTTTAACACTATCATTTATAACTTGATGTTATAAATGATATAACTTATAAATTGATGTTATATCCACCACACGTCATATACCATGTTTTGCTGTTAACTTCTAAAATTCGACTTTCCACTCCCTTGCATTCTTCTTTAATATTGTTTGTGTTGTCATATGACTGACCTAGGCAATCAGCAACCTTGATTCCTAATATTTCTAATTCCTCAGTAAGATCGTTTGCCAAATTTTCTCCGGTTGATAATATTATATTTACAAAGCTTAAGAAACTTTCTTGAACACTTGGCTTTTAGTCCGCTATTTTAACATATCCAATAATGTTAAATAATCGATGTTTTGAAGGCTTAGTGGGTTTTGAAGGCTCAGTGGGTTATTCATATTTCTTTCATTATTTATGTTTCCATTAAAGTAGTGTTTGAAACTGATGAACTTTTGCCTCGTTTAAAAAATTTATTTAATGATCCAGCAAGGCTATTTAATTCTGCTACTTTCCGGATCTGTTTCGCTCTTTTTTGTGCGCTGCTTTCATAACATCTTTTTTACATTTGAAGTAATTAAATGTTGTATGCAAATTTAAATTAAACAACAAGTGAGTTTAAAAATGTTCACAAAACTTTAAAAAAAATAAAACTAACAATTTGAAACAAATAACAACAGAACTTATAGGTATACTTGAAATTTGTTGACATATATTTGAAAAATATTATTTTTCAAATTAAATCCTTATCAAATTAGTCGTATTTTTTTTTTGTTTCCATTCGATTGATTTTTAGATAAAAACTTTTCCTAAGGGAAATTTTGAGCGGAATTACATTTTCAGTTTTTAATTTGCACACGCAATCAAATGAAATTCCATTCAAATGAATGGAATTTCATTTGATTGCACGTGCAAATTAAAAATTC